GGCCAGACTCTTGCAAAGTGAGAAAAGCCCAAACCTGCAACTCCAGTACCAGGAGAAAAGGGAAAGGAGGTTTGATCCTTGCACCCTCCCTAAGTTCTGCCATTTGCTTTATCTCCATGCTTGCTTGATGCAAGCAGAGAACTCAAATGACCTTCCATGTCCCCCGCCCTCTCTGGCTCTGTGCTGGAAGGCATGGGGGTAAAGGCACATCAGCTTATCTCTGTGCCTGTTGGTCAGTCGGAGTGGAGCTCTGAATGGCTGGGAAGAGCAGAGACAGAGAAGGTTGGAATGCCTCCACTGGCCCTCGGTGGCCCCGAGGTGGAGGACGGCAGAAGTGTGCTGATTTGTCCATGACACAGTACAAGATACAGCATGAGGTATGCAGCAAGTCTTCTCCCCCTGGAGCAAGTGAATGCCCCAATTATCAGAAATGTTTGCTTGCCCATCCAGAATCTGTCAGTCCCTGGTTAGATAACTGGTGATCAGCTGCTAGATGGAGTCCTGTACCACACTGATTTTGTTTGGAAAAGAAGGTGAAATTGCCAAGAATTAATCTACAAGGCAGAGAAGACAGCAACTTTCTATATGGTAGCATTTGCTCAGCATGTCACGGTGCCATTAGAGATTCTGTGAATACTTCAAGAAGACAGTGGTGCTTGCATCACACCTTTTTTGTACTGCCACTGTTGGTCCACAATCGCTTAGTCATCTGAGCTCACCATCTATTCATAGCTAACACCCTGTGGAGACCCTTTTACTATCTATCATCTGTGGATGCATGTGGTAACAGTATAGCTCTACCCAAAGAACAAGAGAACAATGATGAAAATAAGTATATAAAAATGCACAAAAACCATCTGCAGCATTCATAATTCTCCCTCCTTCGGGGGGGGGGGGTTGACGGGAAAGATTCAGGACTCTATTTGCAGCACAAATTGCTTTCTTCCTGGTCATTCAATAAAAATTGAAAATGTATGAATTAATTCTATTAGAGACAGCCAGCCCCCTGCATAAACCAAACAACCACAATTTTTCTGTTTCTTCTTTTGTGTCCATCAATAAAAGCTTGTTTTAAGAAATCTCAGTGATAGGTTTCTACTACTAGAACACAAGTAAGACCAGAAAAGCTGAAGCGGAAGTGAAAAAGGGAGCACAGGAAGAGAGAACATGACATCTGAGCATAGACCAATATATTTTGGATACTTTGCGCTTATAAATCTGTTTGTACATACACGCACATAAACAAGCACACCTCAAAATAAATTATCTTTGGGGGGTTTTGAGGGGAGCACTAAAATGCTTAATAAATTTTAATCCATTGAAACCTTAGTGTTACAGTAATACCTCCGCAAACGTCCACCTTGTCTAGCGTCCATTCCAGCGAACATCCACAGCAAACCCGGAAGTACCGGAATGGGTTACTTCCAGGTTGCCGCTTACGCATGCGCAGAAGCACTTTGCCCTGCATCCTTTTCAGCTAGCGGCCGGGGCTCCAGAACAGATCCCAGCTGCAAAACGAGGTACGACTGTATATGTGTAGTATGAGGTGTGAGGCTCATGAAACACAGCACTGAAAGTTCATTGATGCGAGCCTTTGTGAGCATGATGTGTTTGGAAGCCAAAGCTCTTATTGAGTATCATCTTTGCTGGTGTAATTGCCAGAGCTGTGAATCAGGCAAAGCCTTTTCTCCTTCTCCCTCAAGAGACCAGACGTGCTCAAGCAGCCATTCCAGAGTTTAGCAAGCCTCCTGCTATCTGAGCAAATTGTCAGCTAGCTGACAAGCAAAGTGGGATGCTTCTATGAAAATCTGGTCTCCAGGAAAATATCTGCCAGCTTCACGATTGCCATTTCCAGAACTGAGAACCAATGCCTCAGCAGTCTTAAATGTCCCAGCAGTCCCAGAAGCCTTTTCTACAACAGCTCTTTCCTTCTCATTCATTCTCACTTAAAACATTCTACGCTTTCCCAACATCAGAAGGTGGGTCTAGTTGGTGTAGCCAGCCAATGTTGACTCAATGTGCTGTTTCCGAGCGTGGTTTATGTTCCCTGGCCAAAATAATTCGCAATCTGCTTTGGTTAAGAATGTAAGACGAGCCTGCTGATTCCAGCAACCTGATCTCACAGTGGCTGAGCAGACGCCTGTTGGAAGCCTGCAAGCTGGCCATGAGCGCAACAGCACTCTGCCCATCTGTGATGCTCAGCAACTGAGACTCAGAGGCATAATGCTCCTGACAGTGGAGGTGGAGCACAGCCATCATGGCTAGCAGCCACTGGTCGCCTTATCCTCATGAATTTGTCCAATTCTTTCAAAACCATCCAAGTTGGTAGCCATCACTGCCTCCTGTGGGAGCAAGTTCCATAATTTAACGATGTGATGTATGAAAAAGTGCTTTCTGTTATGTATGAAAAAGTGCTTTCTGTTATCTGCTCTGAACCTTCCTACGTACATTCAGCTTCATTGGATGAGCTCTGTGTCATTCGGTGTCAAATATCAAGAACAAAGTAATGTCAGATGTGCGATGATTTTTCAGTTACTAGAACAGGTGCGGGCAACACAACCACCTGCACTTTGTGAGTCTTTTGGTGAAAAAAACGATATATAATTCTGACCCAATCCTTCCCCACAGACCCAATGTTGGTTCCTTTTTGAACAATGCACTTTCCCTCCTCACTATATGTGGTAATTAGTTCTGGGACTATGAATTTCACTCTCAGAAATTTGCTTCCCTGTAAATTGGAGTGTCCATGTACTGTAAATGTGAAAAGCGTGTCGGACAATGACCTGGGAGACTAGGGTTTGAATCCTCACCCACCCATCACTGGGTAGCCTTGGGCCAGTCACTGTCTTTCAGTCTAACCTACTTCACAGGTTTTGTTTTTTTTTAGGATAAAATGGAGAGGAGAGAATCATGTACACCTTGAGGTCTATAAATGCAATAAATGAATAAATAATCCTTTCATTGTTAACTATTCCACTGGCCTACATTAGTCTTCCCAACCTTGAGTGCCCTGGTGTTGCTGAACTACAGCTGCCATCATCCCTGACTGTTGATCTAAGGCTAAGGAAGTTAGGAGTTGAATACAACAACATCTCCCTCCTGAGGGACTTGCCTTTAGATCCTTGTATTCATTGTGCTTGGATATGATCACACCCTTAACCATTCCTTAGGTAAAATTCTAAGAACCCTTGTATCAAAGCAAAGGAAAATGAAGTCATTCATTGAGGATCTGGGCACAGACTGCTATTAGTCAGTTTCGATGTCCCTAAAGTCCCATATGGCTGCAGAATGTATGAACCTATACGGGAAGTGAAGCAAATTACTGGTCAGGAACAAAATGCATGGGGACGAGCAACTCATCCATAGAAGGCCAGAGCAAATGTACAGTATTCTAGCTTCTCACTGCTCTCATTAAAAACTGATCAGTTTCATTTGCGATGCAGTACTTTCATTCACCTGTCATGCTACAGTGAAGAATGGCATGCATACATATTTTTTTTCCAAATGTTCCATTTGCATAATGCTGCTACAACATTTCACATTACGCTAGTTAATGCTAGTGTTTTGACATTTATAAAGCATCGACTGGGAGCCAAAAGAGGAATTGCTGGACTATCCAGTGTAGAAAAAGTAGCCCTGAAATTAAATAAAGAGTGAACCAGGTAGGATCAAAATTATTCCCAAAATCAAAGTTTAAAAATAATTAAGAGCAGCCTGTTAAAATATATCCTAAACTCAATTTCATGAGGCAAGCTTTTCTAACTAGTTCAACATCCTGCTGCACTCCTGAAGGACATTTAGTTACTAAATATGATGAGGAACAGACACACAGCAGTCCAACATTGGGTCGATCAAGGGTATACCTGAAAGTACAGTGGTACCTCTGGTTACAAACTTAATTCGTTCCAAAGATCCGTTCTTAACCTGAAACCGTTCTGAACCTGAGGTACCACTTTCGCTAACGGGGCCTCCTGCTGCCACCGCTGCATGATCTCCATTCTCATCCTGGGGCAAAGTTCTTAACCTGAGGTACTACTTCCGGGTTAGCGGAGTTTGTAACTCAAAGTGTTTGTAACCCAAAGCATTTGTAACCCAAGGTACCACTGTAATTGAACTCTAAACCAGAGTCATAGTCAACATTATATTAAGCATAATTTGATACGTATACAAATCTAATGATTCCTTAAGACTTCTTGTTGGACAAACTATGAGGTTGCTAGCTAACAGTTAAAATAAAAAAGCACTGGTTCGGTTCAGACAAAATGTGAAACTGTGGCTTGGCACTATGTGAGCCCCCACCCTGCTGCAGCTCCCATGCTCTGATTCAATTACATACTCTCTCTTTGGGATAAACCATATTTTTTTCCAGTATATCAAAAAACTATGGTTTCTGTTTCCCATCAAAACCAGGGTTGCATACTAACTTCAAACTACAGATTGTGATCCTATTTGCAGGACAAATTTGCAGGAAAGATGTAACTAACTGAACCAGAGTATGCCTTCATGCTGACACCAAAGCTATTATGCCAAATGTGGGAGGAAGAGTGGAGAGTTTTGCTTTCTAGTCATAGCTCCTTGCAATCCCATAATGCACTGCTTTTCTTTTCTTTTCTTTCTTTTCTTTTCTTGGGCACACTAGTACAGTGGTACCTCAGGTTACATACGCTTCAGGTTACAGACTCCGCTAACCCAGAAATAGTGATTCACGTTAAGAACTTTGCTTCAGGATGAGAACAGAAATCGTGCTCTAGCGGCGCGGCAGCAGCAGGAGGCCCCATTAGCTAAAGTGGTGCTTCAGGTTAAGAACAGTTTCAGGTTAATAACAGACCTCCAGAACGAATTAAGTACTTAACCTGAGGTACCACTGTATAGGTAAACAATGATGGGGAAAAGGGAGAAAATGAGTATTTTAATACCAGTTCCATTTGTAATTTGTTAATTTCCTAAGAGATAATTTCCTTTTTAAAAAAAAATGCAAATGAAATAATCGCTTTACTTACGATAATCTCTGTGAATTTCATCTATTTCTTTCTCTGTCTGTTTTTTGGTAAATGTCATACTCTGCAACAGTAGAACAAACATTACTTTTTAATGAAGGATGAAGGATATAAAGCCACACACCCCAAAATAATCAAGACATAATTATCTAAAAGGGAAGTTTTTATATTCTCCTCAAACAAACCCCTCCTCCCCTGACAGCTATAGTTTAGCACTCTTTCTATACACTCTCGGTTGCATTTAACGTGTGCTCGTCTACCTAAGGGACGCGGGTGGCGCTGTGGGTAAAAGCCTCAGCGCCTAGGGCTTGCCGATCGAAAGGTCGGCGGTTCGAATCCCCGCGGCGGGGCGCGCTCCCGTTGCTCGGTCCCACCGCCTGCCAACCTAGCAGTTCGAAAGCACTCCCGGGTGCAAGTAGATAAATAGGGACCGCTTACTAGCGGGAAGGTAAACGGTGTTTCCGTGTGCGGCTCTGGCTCACCAGAGCAGCGATGTCACGCTGACCACGTGACCCGGAAGTGTCTCCGGACAGCGCTGGCCCCCGGCCTCTGAGTGAGATGGGCGCACAACCCTAGAGTCTGTCAAGACTGGCCCCGTACGGGCAGGGGTACCTTTACCTTTACCTTAGTCTACCTAAAGGGAGATCCTTTTGTCTACAGGGTCAAATTCAAGGTGCTAGCACTACTGCATAAATCTTTAAATGGCTTGGGACCCAAGTACCTAAAAGAGCACCTTCCTCAATACCAACCATCTCACATCCTATAATTGGCAAGTGAGGCCTTGTTGGTGGTGCCTGTCAGTATCTCAGCTCACAGTCAGAGGTACCTGGCCTCCCCCGAGGCGAACTAAGTGAGATACTTGTTTACCTTTCGTCTGCGTCTCCCAGCAGACTAGGTCGTAAACCGGCGATTCTCCTCATTAGACGTGAGGAGAACACACCCTCTGCTTCTCTCTTCCAGCTTTCCCCCCAGGGAGGGGAAATGAGACAGACAGGAGTCTATTTACATGACTTTTTTTTCCTGTCATTCAGCAGTACACTGAAACGTGACTGCACCCTTCAGACTCCATCAGAAGAGTCACAACTCCGCCCCTGCACTTTCAGTACAGGTCAGATGACACACTGAGCTAACATCCGGTGCTCAGTACAGAGAAAAGACTGCCCCTTTTTCCCACCAGTACAATTGCAAACCACAACATCCTGTTTTGCTTTCCAGCCACCTGCTGCTGGCTTTTGCATTGCTGCTTTTATCCAACAATCTCCCCCAAAAGCATCAATAGGCAAAACATGATCCAGAGAAGAAAACAAACAGTTGTTATACATATAACAGTCCCCTGTTGTTTCAGTTCCACCCTTGGAACTTCCCACCACTGGTTTCACCAGTGTACCTCTCTGGTTGTCTGGCTTCCAAGGAATGAGTGCTTCTGCATTACCTTGGCTAGCTACTCTCTGTTGTGTCTTTGTCTCTGACTTAGACACTGCTTTAACCTGTTTTGAGTTGTTAACAATAGCAACACACGCAACAGCTATGTTAGCAAACTCTTTTGAGTACCTCTTCGGTGGTACACCTTTTGTAACTCTCTCAGACCTGCGTATGAGGTGCTGATCCTCTGTGCTCACTGGTTCAACCTCTGGACTTTGTTGAGAACCAGTAGCATTGGCTAACAGCGGTTCTTCCTTCACCTGTGAAGGTCTATCCTTTGTGTGAGATTTCCTCTCAATGACTGTTACAACTGAACTCTCTGAGCTATCACTGTCATCATCAGTACCACTGTAATCTGTGACATCAGAAAAATCATCATCTGAATTGCCATCTGTGGGAAATGTGTGTTCTATAACCCGCTCTTTTTCTGGAGCACTCTCTAGAAACTTTGTGAGAATCACCTGACCAGATTCAGACAAGATTACTCTGTAGAGACCCTTTTCATAACCCACAAAAATGCCTCTGGCATTCTTTACTCCACCTGGAGCTTCTGTTCTCACATGAGATCCGAAAACCTTAAAATAGGCAACCGAAGGTTTTCTGTGGAACAGCTTCTCAAAAGGAAAACATCCCAATTGTACTGGTGGGAAAAAGGGGCAGTCTTTTTCCCACCAGTACAATTGCAAACCACAACATCCTGTTTTGCTTTCCAGCCACCTGCTGCTGGCTTTTGCATTGCTGCTTTTATCCAACAGTGCCATCACCAGGGGATGCCCAGTTGGTGCTGACTCATGACAGGGTCTTTTCAGTGGTGGTTCCCCAATTGTGGCAGGCCCTCCCTACTGAGGCGTGCCGGTCTCCATCATTATTAACTACATCTCATAGATGTGTAGAGTTGGAAGGGATCCCAAGGATCATCTAGTACAGTCCCCTGCAATGCAGGGGGTACACATATGGTACATCCTCAGCTGTGGTTTGAAAAGCTCATTGTGGGATTTTTATCACATGAAGTGACACATGCTCATTTCTTGTCACTAAGCCTCAGCCAAAGTTTATCAACTTACGCCTCTTCTAGGTTTACTGGATTCCAGTTGTGTTCGAGTCTTCTCATTTTTTTCCAGCTCTCCTACAATTTCAGCAACTGTGGAAAGAAACGATTGCCGTAAGCGGAAGCCTAACATCACGGGGGCGCCTCTTATATCAAGGCACAAAATGTTTCTGAGAGTATATTCTTTGTAAGAACTGAAACATGCTAGTCTGAAGTGAAAACACATTTTCACCTATAATGAAGCTTTTCCTAAGAGACGGGGAGTACGAGAGAATGGAGGAAGGTGCAGTTCACCTGCTTGTGAAAAGCAAGACCTGAATAGGGGAATAAAGACTGCATCCTTGCTGAAAGGGGTAGGAAACATCAGTAACCACATGCTAGCTGCCAGAAGGATCTCAGAATTAGGACAGATTTCTCATGCCATTCTGAGCAAGCTCTCAGAGGCTTCTCAGGAAATCCTTGACTGTTAATGTATCTGAGTATTTTCAAAAGCAGCAATAGTTTCCTGATAAAGGAGATCACAGAGTGAAGGAGAAAGGTAAATGAAAGAGGAAAAAGGCAAGAGGTTCTTCTTTGTGACTTTGCAGTAACAGCCCCTGATTCTGCAACAGTAGCCCATCTCCTGCCCAACAAACACTGCTTCTTTTCTGCTCCTTGTGTTTCCTTCCCCAGAATCTATCCATCCCAGACCTATAAGCAACAAAGACAAATCAAGGGCTAGAAGACCTGAACAGAAGACTGTGCTAAGAGAGTTTTGAATGTCACTACAACAAGGTCCATAGATTTCCAAGTGACTGTTACATTTCTCATTTGTCAACTCCCAACTGCTGCTACTACTATTATTATTTTATATTATTATTATTATTATTATTATTATTATTATTATTATTATTATTGGATTTTGCAGGAATGACCAAAAAAGCAGAGTTACAGAGTTCTTATTTCTCTCTCTCTCTTTGGGGAACATCTTTGGTATAAGACAGCTTCTGGAATTCCTAATAGGGCTATGAGCATTAATAGTCACTGCTGTCAGTACTAGCAGGCAAACATTTCTTCAGCGCTAACAGAGCTGAAGCCATATAAAAATAAATGTATACATGTGCCTGAACAACATATGTAGGTGGATAATGATTGAGTTTTCATGCATCAATATTTTCTACTATTCAACAGTACAGTACAGAACATCTCTAGTTAGAACTGAAATAAAAATTGTTGGCAGGGGGCGGAGGAGTCAGCATGCCCCGGTGAATGTTGTGTAGGGTTAGAGATTAAGAGCCTAGACTTGTAATCAAACTCCCAAGACAACAACTTTGGGCAAATCACTCTCCCTTTTTTGTGAAACAGAAATATAATTGACCTATTTTACAGACCTGTGAGATCAAATGAACCAAGCATGGGAAAGAGGGTCCTTGGTAGCATTCATGCCTGTTAGTGCCACCAAGAATTATTTTATTTTATTGTTCTTGTTTTTTATTTCTGGTCTTTGAAATCCAAATGGCTGGCAAAAACAAAATAGCAGGACAATTTACAGCATGCTATAAAATGAGAGTTTTCTGGCATCACAAATGGATTGTATTTTTGCTTGCAATCGACATGTTTGTTGATTTTAAGTCTGTCCTGCGTAGAGATCATTAATTTAGAGCCTATGGATTTTTCTCACAGGGAAAACGAAACTCAAACCTTACTTCCATCAGGAATCCGATACCTTCTTAAAGAAGCTGCTCTATAAATAGATATCTAAGAAATAAGCCCAACATGACTCAAACATCTCCTGATTTCTAGAAAAATCCAGACTAGATTGAGCAGTTTAGGGAGTGTGATAGGGCCTACAGATGTTGTTGGATTCCAACACTCCCCAGCCTTGGCCAACATGTCTAAAGATCAGAGGTGGTGGGAGCTGTAATGCAACATCTGGAGAGCCACAGTTTTGCCATTCCTGGACTACAGTCAGAAACCCATTGCTTCTAATGTAAATCACAATAGCCTGAGTTGTATGCAACATTAAAATATGTTTTAATGCTACATGGATGAGCTCACACATGCCTGTCTCCAATCTCTTCCTCCAGTGTGGCTGCCAGGAAACTGGAAGTTTTTGCTTCAATTTTCAATTAACCCCGGTTAAGAGGTTTGTTCGAACCATAAACTGTGGCTAATCTTAACTATGGTTTCGGGCAATTGAGCAAAACCACCATCTGAAATTGGTTTGTTTCCCCAAACCATAATTACCACCCCATGGAAAAACTGTGACCAAAAGGAACCAGGCAAGTAAATGTAGGTGACTAAGAGAGAACATGGTAATAATAATAATAATAATAATAATAATAATAATAATAATAATAATAATATAATAATAATAAATTTTTAGATGCTTATAAAATTATGTATGATTTGGAAGAACCAAATTCCGAGCCATATTGCATGTCACGCTTCTCGTCATTGTACTCGCATCATTTTAAAAGTGTTGCCGGAAGATGAAACTTTGGGAAATTGTAATTTAAATAACCTAAAACATGTTAACTATATAAGAAAATGAAAAATGGGTTCACATTTTCATTGAGTTACCCTAGTACATCCAGTCTGAAGGCATCATGCCTCTGAATACCAGTTGCCGGGGAACATGAGCGTGTGGGCAGGCACTGCACTTGTGTCCTGCTTGTGGACTTCCTGCCGGCATTTGATTGGCCACAGTGGGAAACAGAACACTGGAGAAGGACCCTTGATGTGATCCAGCAGGGTTTCTCTAATGCTAACCACCATCATTCATTTTTCTGGGGAAAAACCAACTGTATTTCTCTAGTTCTTGCAGCGACAAAAGTCAAATCAAAACACTCAGAAAAGACACTTCTGTTGCTGCCTACGACTACTGGAACCAGGGCAAACACATTTTAAGAGGTAAGCTGTCATGTTGTCTTCCCCTAGACAAATATTTGCGCCCTCAAGTCGTATTTTCAAATTGTAACTCTAGAGGTCATTTTGACCTTTAGCGGAAAAGATTTCCTAGCTTTCTGTTAAAATGGGACAAGTAGAACTGAATCAGAGATTCCTCTCCTAAGTTCTATTCAGAGATATATATTTTTACTTTTAAAGTGTGTTGTGCAACTATGTGAGAATCGACATCATCATCATCATTATTTAGATTTTGTACATTTTACTGAGTGGGTTACAACAATTACGCTCAAGAAAATGGGGGGGGGGGTGAGAGCTCTGTAAAAGCCGTTGTCTCCTCAAAATGTATATATCAGATGTGAAAGGCCAGGGGAAAGAGGTGAGTATGTGTATTATACCTTGAGTTTTATAACACACACAGGAATCACATGACATTTGGGTACCAATTTCTTGTGTTTGGATAACTGAATTTTCGTATAGCGAGTGTTTGGATAGTGCAGACTGCGTGCATAGAGTTGATTGGCTAGAAGCAAACAATTTACAGCACCCATAGCTAAAATAGCGCAAGATGGAATGGGATGACCACATGCATTGCCGCCACCACCCTGGATGAATAAGGACATTCACCAACAATAATTAAGTCTCTAAGGCTGACTTCACTCTATAAACACACAAATAAGCTATTTGAAGCCGCATCCATGTAGCAGCTGTGCAGTGTATGTGGAGGCCATAGAAATTAATGACCATCATACCACTGAGAATATTGCTGCCAGGGTTACAGGGGAATCCCAATGCCATGCAGAAAGCAACCACTGGACACAAATAGCTACCTTGCGCTGAGCTGACTTCACGCCAATGAAAATTCAAATAGCCTTTCAGCAGAGCGGCTGTTTCGTGCGAAAAGAGTCCAAGACCAAATATGTCCAAAGAGAAATCTGGAATAGGCATGCTTGAATGTTTTGTTCTCAAATAAATAAAATGGTAGGTAAACAAGCTGTCAGAAAGAGGCATACAAAATGTTGGCAGTTTTCAAGGAAAACCATTATCAGCTTCCTACCTGATTTGGGATTTAAAGAATCACACTCTGAATTATACATGTGCACAAACTCCTGGTGCCTTTTAATAAGCTGTTGTTTCGTTCCCTGAGTGGACAGTCCAAGTTCTTTCAGCCTTCTTCTCAGATCGCGATCAGACAGTAAACTGTACACCACTTTAGACAGTAGTTTTCTTTTTTGTCCAGAGCTGAAATAATTTTTAAAAATGGGAGGGAATCAATAAAGCTTTTCTGGTCAGGCACTTCAACTAATGTATGTGTTTTTCCCTACATTATAGTTATTCAAAAAAACAAAAGGGGGGAGACTCACACACAAATGCACTGCAATAAAAGATCAAATACGTTAGAGGACTGTCAGGTCAGCACAGATGGGTAGTGGTGGATAACAGCATTCCTGGTACTTTTCCTAAGCATCTCCACTTTTCATCCCTCTCAGTCGGGTATAGCATTCCTTTCCCAATACCAAATATTATTATCATTGTCATCGTCATCGTCATCATTATTTTTATTAAATACTGTTATAACCTGCTTCAGCTCCAAGGAGCTCAACGTTCTCTCCACTTTCTACTGTCAGAACAACCTTGTGATGTAAGCTAAGCTGAGGGAATCAGGAGTTTGATTAAATAAAATGTTAAAAAACTATCACATTACAGAATATGAAATACCATGAGCCGAATACTTTGGGTCTCTCTTTCTGATATTATACAAGTATATTAATTTTTAATATAAATTGTTAATACAATGTGTTAATATGACCAAATTCATTCAAGTGCTAGTTAATGGAACTTGTTATTATTATTTCAAGTTTTTTATCCAACTTTTCTCCTAGATAATGAAAACCTCTTACAAAATATAAAACCAACAATAGGACCAACAGGTTAGAACATCAGTAATCAGAATTTAACACAGATAGCAGCATCAGTACATCGTGACTAAAATGCCATAGCCCCAAAAGGCTTGCTCAAAGAACTATCTTTATTGCCCACCAGAAAATGATTAGAGGTTAATCTAGGTCATGGGTAGGCAAACTAAGGCCTGGGCCCCAGATCCAGCCCAATCACCTTCTAAATCCGGCCCGCGGCCAGTCCAGGAATCAGTGTGTTTTTACATGAGTAATGCGGCCTGCCTGGTGTTTTTACATGAGTAGAATATGCTTTTATTTAAAATGCATCTCTGGGTTATTTGTGATACATAGGAATTCGTTCATTTATTTATTTTTCAAAATATAGTCTGGCCCCCCACAAGGTCTGAGGGACAGTGGACCGGCCCCTGCTGAAAAAGTTTGCTGACCCCTGATCTAGGTGGCCTGCCTTGGCAAGGGCATCCCACAACCTTGGCACGACTACAGCAAAGGCCCTGTCACTCATGCCTATCAGGTGCACCTCTGGTGAGGATAGAAAGCAAAGTCTCTGAAATTAGCTTCCATGTTCAAGTTGTATTCATATTAGACTCTTCAGCATACCACAGCAAAGATGCCATCAGCAACCATGAAGCCAAACTTCATCATCCGAATGGATACTTTCACCCCGCAAGAAACAGTTTGGCAGCCTCAAGGGTTCCAACAACAGAGGGCCATTGGAAGTGTGTTTTACTGGCAAGTCCTGAGCACATCATATAGAAAAATGAAGTTAAATGTATTTGAAAGCCAGCTTTAATTTTAACTGCAGTTTTAATCAGAGCGTTTCTTTGTATTCTGTAAAGCAGGTGGCGAGAAGATACACTTGCTGTACGGGAGGCAGTTCTTTAAGATGCTGGTAGGGAATGCAACTTCTCAGTGGGTAAAACTGCATTATATTACTTCCAACCATCATAACAGCATAAATCGCAAACAAAAGCTGCTGAAGAGGCTGACAGGTGAAGGCTACAGAACTCCTCCCTTATGAGTCTAGATTGAAGGATCAGCATCAGACTGGAAAAGGTTGTAATCCACAGGGTGTCGTTCGGTCCCTGTGAAACTGCACACCCTGGCTTCCAGGGCCACATAGTATTTTCAAGACCACCCGAGCCATTATTGAACCTCTATAACAGAGCAGCACATGCATTCCGCTCCTTGAGAAGTCTCTTTAAGAACTGTATTCCCTATGCAATCTAATTCTCACAAGCATGGTTCAAATGCAGACATCAACCTATGCTATGGTTTGCGTTAAGCATGGTTTGAACTTCCAAACATGCCAGGTCTGGAGATGCTTGTCTACTCATTCTCCCTCTGCTCAGGGTGCCTTTCTCTGCGGTTCAGTGCGCCCAAGGCTTGGGAAATTGACCAATCAAAACTGTTTGACAAGTTAAGCATGTTTAAATAATGTTCAAGTGTGTGGTTGTTGTTTTTTTAGAAAATGCACATTGCTTTTTTGAGAATTGGTTTTGGCTTGCAAACCAACTTCAAAACGTAATGTATGATTCTACCATGCTGGTTAATGGGGGGGGGGGAGTTGCCTCTTTGAACCTTCCACATTTTCAAAACACATGTGGAGTGGGAGTTAGAAGCACACATGCTGGCCCTGCCCCAAAATCACTATTAAATTGGGCAGAAAGTCTGAAGAGGGAACCCGTGTATGTTCCCTCTTCAAGCCTTCCACCCCCCACACATCAAAGTTTGGAGGGTGAAGTTGGAAGGGACAGTCGCACGCCGCAACCCCCGCTCATTCTTTGAATGCATGAAGGCTAATGAAGGTTAGGTTTTCTTTGTCATGGTATAGCTTAATCTGCAAATGAGCCTATGAGGCAAAGAATCTTTGTTTAAAGAAAGAATGGGAACTGAGCTTTTTCAAGAGTCTGCACTGACCACCAGTTCCACATATCATTTTAAGCACAGAAAACAGAAAAAGGTTAGCATACTTGTATACAGTTACTAGGTTTCCTGTGTGAAACCCAGAATCATAAATAACTGCCCCTCTGAAATGCTGCTTTAAAATATATGTTGGCCATTCTCCATGTGAAGCAAAAAAACCCAAAACCCACCCCAGATAATATTCCTTACAGGCAAGCTAAATGTCCTAACTGCCACTGTAAGGAAGTTGAACACATTGCCAAGGTCATGCGCAATAACTTTTAGTAGCTAAATCTTTTGAGACAAGAATCTTCTCAGAGGCTGTTTTAAACTGCATGACGCCTAGACAAAAATAAACCACATTACAGAAAACAGCCACATTTCTTAGAATTCCAGAGGGAAAGCGTGTTCCAGCCATATATAAATCTTTACATCTGCAAGTAATAACAAAAATCAAGAAACAGTCAAAAAGCTGTCAAAATAAAGATGCTAGCACCTGTTCAGAGTGCAATAGAGAGACCTCTGTGGAAATAAGATGACTTGCAAACATTTGTCATTGTCTTTCCATGGCAAAGTGCTAACACATGGTAAGCTTGTGGTATTTTGCATTCATTTTTTTTAAAAAATATATATTTATTAAGGTTTTTCAATACAAAGGCATATTTAATAAAACAACGTTGATTATTTAGCATCTTTTCATCATTACTTTGGACTCCCACACACCTCCCCCACACACTTGCATCGTTATAAAATTATTTCCAAGCAAATTATCATTTTGTTCATAGTCTTTAGATTCAGTCATTAAAATATAGTTAAACTTAAATCTAGTTTAGTGATAGACAATTATTTCTGTTCTGGCATCCCTGTCAACATTCAGCCAAATTACAATATTTTTGTAAATAAGTCTTAAATTTCTTCCAGTCTTCTTCAACTCTCTCTTCTCCCAGGTCTCGAATTCTGCCGGTCATCTCTGCTAGTTGCATATAGTCCATCAGCTGCATCTGCCATTCTTCCAGAGTGGGTAGATCTTGAGTCTTCCAATTCTTAGCGATCAGTATCCTTGCTGCCGTTGTTGCATACATAAAAAATGTTCTGTCCTTCTTTAACACATTCTGGCCAACAATGCCCAAGAGGAAGGCCTCTGGTTTTTTGGTAAAGGTATACTTAAACACCTTTTTTAACTCGTTATATATCATCTCCCAGAAGGCCTTCACTCTAGGGCAAGTCCACCAGAGGTGAAAGAATGTTCCTTCATTTTCCTTACATTTCCAACATTTATTATCAGACGAATGGTATATCTTAGCCAATTTAACTGGGGTCATGTACCATCTGTATATCATTTTCATTACATTTTCCTTCAGAGCATTACATGCAGTGAAGTTCAGCCCAGTGGTCCACAACCTTTCCCAATCTTCAAACATAATATTATGCCCAATATCCTGCGCCCACTTTATCATTGCCGATTTAACCATTTCGTCTTGTGTGTTCCATTTCAGCAGCAAATTATACATTTTTGAAAGTACTTTAGTCTTAGGTTCTAACAGTTCTGTTTCCAACTTCGATTTCTCCACCTGGAATCCTAACTTTTTATCATTCTTAAATACTTCTTTAATCTGAGCATAGTGTAGCCAGTCTCGCACTTTATCTTTCATTTTCTCTAAACTCTGCAATTTCCAATTGTCTCCATCTCTTTCTAATATCTCCCAATACTTTGGCCAGTTGGCCTCCATATTGGCTCTTTTTCGGGCCTTAGCCTCCAAGGGTGACAGCCACCTCGGAGTTTTATTCTCCAGTAAGTCTTTGTATCTTGTCCAGACATTAAATACTGCTTTCCTGACAATATGGTTCTTAAAGGCCTTGTTGATCTTAACCTTATCATACCATAAGTATGCATGCCATCCAAATGCATTGTTAAAACCTTCCAGATCCAATACATCCGTGTCCTCAAGAAGTAGCCAGTCTTTTAGCCAGCAGAAAGCTGCGGCTTCATAGTACAACTTTAAGTCTGGCAGGGCAAAGCCCCCTCTTTCTTTCGCATCCGTTAGTATCTTAAACTTAATTCTGGGCTTTTTGCCCTGCCAGACAAACTTAGAAATGTCTTTCTGCCACTTCCGGAAGCACTCCGTTTTGTCTACAATCTGCAATGTCTGAAACAAAAATAACATTTTTGGCAATACATTCATCTTAATGGCGGCTATTCGGCCTAGCAATGAAAGTTTTAATTTTGACCAACTATCCAAGTCTCTCTTAATTTCCAACCAACATTTTTCATAATTATCTTTGAATAAACTCAAATTTTTTGCTGTTATGTTTACCCCTAGGTATTTCACTTTCTTAACCACAGTTAATTCTGTCTCTCTCTGAAACCGTTCCGACTCAGTATCTGTCAGATTTTTTCCCAAGACCTTAGTTTTTTGTTTG